ACATTTAATTCTAATTGTTTAGCAGCTTTTCTGCTGCTATCGACCCTACATTTTACTGACACTTGTGGAATCGACCCTACATTTTTTTTTTTTACGTGGAGGTAGGCCGACTCTATGTGATAAACAATTGGCAACCAAACGGTGGCTCGCTAAAGCGATATATTATGAAATTAAATTAATCACTCAATAAGTTTTAACGTTAGATTGTTTCCTCGGTATGGCCATGGTGGTCATCAGTGAGTGCCTCAAATGTTTAGAATAATTAAAATAAAATAAATGTTGTCAACTAAAAATTTTGAACGTCATAGCTAGCTAGACATTATTTTCAATTGATAAAAAAAATTATAAAGCATAATACTCTAATCCTATGCTTAAAATGTATTTTCTTGTGGCCGCTTGTCAGCAACCTGTAAATGTGGCGTGACAGAGGACGTGTTAATAAGTAAATGTTGTTCAAATTATATCGTGTTTTATGTCATTTTCATCAGAAAAATCTCACCAACATGTTAAAAAAAATTCCAGATGAAAAAAAAGTAAAATTAAAGAAATTATATTTTTCTATTATGATTTGTGGAGCCTTAAAATCTCGTAAAGGAAACCGATTGGGGTAGCGTTACACGCTTGACTGACTGTGAGCGAGATAACATGGGCGCAGCAATGACGCAGACCTAAGCGTAGGACCATCTATACTGTCACTTGTAGAATCCAAACTTACTGACTCTTGTAGAGAATTTACTGTATTGATCTAAATAGCATATCAATAAATGGCACGAACTTGTTGGATGACCTAATAGAATTTTCTAAGGAATACATATATCATTTTTGATAATAAATAAATGAAACTACTTTCATCTATTATAGACAGAACTGAAAGGAACCAGTTTGGTAAAAATAAATATTTTAAACTCACGACACTTTTACGAGGATTTGCCGTCGTTCCAATGTGAATTAATATATCGCCCGTAGTAAATTCTACGGATGACATTCGCAGCTTTAGCACAACGCGCCTCTTTCCGGTTTATAGTTGCCGATGAGGGAATCCCTCACTCTCTCGAATGAGTCCAATTAATTAAACGAGAGGTTCAGAATATCTCTTATGTATTCAATCAATTAGCTTCCTGAACATAGTTCATTTATACACAGATCTGTTTGAGATTTTGTTCTGGAATGGTAGTTACAGGTGATGTGCTGTATCATGAGTTACTTTCGAAGCATTTTTATATCTATCAGTGCAGAAATTTTGCGTGATTATAATATACGGAAGTTGAAGTGCATTTAAACAATTGAATTATTTGATAATTATTTAAATAGAAACTCGAATGAATTTTTTATTAATATGTTTGAACTATGAATTTGTTAAAATGTAACGCAAAGAGTATTAATAAATTGCGATAGTCCTTTTTAATTGGAGAAAGTTAATTAACCTTTGGTAACCAGGGAAGTGCTATATTTTTACTAAATTTTATTGGTCAAGTTGAATATGAATATTACTGAAAGTATTAAAGCGAG